TTTTTTTTTTCCTTCTTGAGACAGGGTTTCACTATGTAGGTCAGGCTGGCCTTGAACTCACTTTGTAGCCCAGGCAGGCTTCGAACTCGCAATGATCCTCCTGCCTTAGCCTCCCAAGTGCTGGGATTACAGGCATGCGCCACCTCGCCCTGCCAATCTGAGGGATGAACCCATGATCTCCACACTGAGCTGCATCCACAGACCATTTAATATTTTTTTTTTTTTTTACTTGAGAAAGGGTGTAGCTATGTTACTTAGGCTGGGCTCAAACTTTCGATCTTCCTGCCTCAGCTTCCCAGAGTGCTGGAATTACAGGTAAGCATCACTCTGTCTGGCAGGATTTATTTTTTATATGGCAAGAAAACTCTCCCATCTTTCCTAACAAAATTAAAATAAGTAGTTAATGTCTCAGTTACCCAGTCTAGGTTCCGAATGCTCCAGCGTCCCTTGTTGCAGCTGCCAGGAGGTGGGTCAGGTTCAGACGCCCGTGTGGCGCGCCATCTTGCTTGTACAGAAGTGAAATGCCTGGTGCTAGTAGTGGGGATTCTCCTTTCCCATGGTTCGCCTGTGGCTGCTGCTCAGCTGGTTGCTGTGATGCTAGCATGTTACCATGGAAAGGGGTGACATCACAGAGTGGGTTGTGACCACATAGGAGAATGCTGAGGTGAAGGGAGACACACAGCTCTGTTGCCCTCAATTTCTGGTCGATGAACTGGGTAGTAAGGACACTGAAAAACACGTCCAGAGCCCAGAGATTTAGCTCAAGGATTTCCTGGCTCTGAAAAGCCTCAGTGAGGTTCCCCTGTGGCTGCTCTACACTTACTAATTCAAGGGAAGGTCCTGGGGGCCTTTTCTTAGGTGTGCAGCCTGATCTGATATTCTAAAAGTGAAGGAAAACCTGAGCCTTCACCTCTGCGTCCAGCAGAGATAGCCCTAGATCTTGGATTTCTGTGCTTAAGCCAGGGGTTAAACATTTGAAGAGGCTGAGCCTTCTTGTAATTTTTGTAATTTTATCCCTAGTTAGTGGGTCACTCAGAGCCTACCCCGGCAGTCTGTTGAGAGGCTGAGCAGTTACTGATCATAACCCTGACCTTCACATTAACCTAGCTGCCGCATGAGCTGCAGGTAACAGCCACTGTTCCCATGAGTTTCCGTCTTTTTGTGTTTTGCCTCTTTTCTCTCATAAACCAGGTGGAGCCATAAGCCCCCGGCCCCTTTCAACTTTGTCCAACTCTTTATTTTTTTACTTTTTGAGACAGCTGCTTATTTTGTAGTGCAGCCTGCCCTTGAACTCACCATATAGCCCAGGCTGGCGTCAAACTTGTAGTGATTCTCCTGCCTCAAGCTCTCAAGTGCTGGGATATCAGCGGAGTGCTGGGATGTCAGGCGTACGCCACCACGCCCTGCTCTCCAGCTCTCTTGTCTAGGCAGTTGCTATGCTGCAGGGTTTGTTCTCCCAGGGGCTTTTTGTCCCTTCCTCCTGGGTCTTGCCTCTCCCTGTCTCCCACCTGGTTGCTTTCTAGCATAGCATAGGTGAGAGCTGAGGAAGGGGAGATGCTGATTTCGTCAGGTTTTTTTGTTTTGTTTTTTTTTTTTTTTGTCTTTTTGAGACAAAGTGCAGTGTGCAGTTCAGGCTGGCCTTGAACTCACTTTGTAATCCAGCCTGGCCTGGAACTTGCAGTGATCCTCCTGCCTCAGCCTCCCAGAGTGCTGGGATTACAGGCGTGCACCACCACGCCCAGCTCTGATTTCATCGGTTTTTCCAGCTGGTTTGGTTGGGAGGGGATGGCGGCAGTCGGCAGTGTCTCCCTTCCCTATAGAGAATGTGCTTCACCATCAGCCAGTCTAGGGTTGTCTGTGTTCAGGTGCGCTCCTGCTGGCTGGTTCTTCAAATCTGTAGCTTCTGCTTGTCTGCTTCTCACTGTGTCCTTACCTCCCATGTCAGATGCTTCATCCATATTGTCTCGTTTGACCCTAATGCCCCTTGAGATAGGTACTAACGTTACCCGTTCCAAAGATGAGAGCACCAAGGCTCAGGTTATAGAGCAAGAGTGCTTGCTAGAGAGAAGGCAGAGCTGGTTGAGTTACTTGGTCTGCAGGAGGTGACTTAGCATAGCAGGTCTCTTCTCCAAGTGCAGTGCTGTTTTTGCCGAGCCCATGGTATGTGATTAACTCCACACGCTTCTGTGCCCTGTGGAGTTGGCCCGGCAGGTATTACTTAGGGCAGGAGTCCAGATCTATTTTTTGACCCAAGACGAGGTCTGCCAGCTCTGAAAATGGAAACTTGGAAGCTCAGGAAGCTTTGTCCTGGAGGTTCAGGACAGAGAGCTGCCTCTGGGCAGGGGTTGGCTTCTTCCCATTTCCTCCTGGGGGCCTTTCCAAGGTGTCTCACAGTGTGGATGGTCTCCCGACGCTCCTGGCTCTGGCGGCCGCCTCGGCTGCAGCCATGGCCAGGCACTGCCGGTGTAGGCTCCGGGAATAAAGCGGCCTCCACACAAGCCGGCCCTGCAGGGTTTGCTCCCGCAAGCTGGTCTCAAGAGGATTTGGCAGGTCTAGATTGAAATGATTAGCGCAGTGGGGCTTCCCCCACTTTTCTTGGGGGATTATGTCACAGTCTATTAAGCGTGCTCCCTCGGTATTTAATCCCACTCTGACATGGATTTTGCTGGCAGCCTGTTAAGTGGCACCGCTTAAACCTGGTTGCCGTTTTGTGGAGACTGCCTTTGTGCAGTCGTGTGAATGGCCCTCAGGATTTCTACCCGCTCTCCCAGTGGGCTTGATTTCCTCTCTTTCTTTTTCTTTCTGTTGAACAGAGTCTGAAGGAAATAGTTAGACCTAATATTCTTGCAGGCCTTTTAGCTGGCATGGCATGGCCCCTGTGACCCGCAGCAGAGTTGGCTTGAGCCCTAGCACTGGCAATGCCCAGCCAGCCAGTGTCACCAGCTCGGTCCTCCATGAATCCTCAGTGATCTTTGTAGAATTCCCATGTGTCAGCTGCACTGTAGGTAAAGACAGTTCTGAGTTTTCAGTGCCCACTGGGTAGAAAGTTGTGCGGGTGAACCTCCCTGAGCCCAGACGTGCCTGGGGGTGTTGGTGGAAGTAGCGTGGAGAATCCATCTTTGGCTGAAGCCTGCAGGAGGGTCTGAATGCTGTACTTGCCCACCTTGGTAAACATCCTTGAGAAAAAAGAGGCTGCTTTTGAATCATTCTGGATGAGGGTTAAAGCTCTTGAGTTCCGTGGTGGTCCTTTGCTGTAGTGCCCTAACGTCCCTGCGTGTTAGGTTAGCACAGCGGCATGTTTTCAGGGCCCAGTATGGCCGGGGGACTGTGTGGGGGCCTCTGAGGACCCTGGACAAGTGCTGTGCCTGGCGGGGCGCACCCTGGGGCTGCCTGCCAGCTCTGGCTCACCCCACCCTCTGTGTCATGGAGGCTGCCTTGTGAACTGAGTTTCTCATCACTTGTATCAGTTTTCTATAAGAAAAATGCAAAAGGCAGGTAGTTCGGTAGCTGGTACTGTGCAGGGACTCAAAAATGTTTGTGGCCTGAACAGTGTTTATCACTGTTCAGGAGGAGGAGGAGGCGGCCACCTCCTCAGCCTTGCCCATTCAGAGTACCGTGTGGAACGCTGTGCTCTGGTCATTTTTTCTTTATGGGTTCCAGCCTGTTACCTCTCCGGGCTGGGGCTGGGCCCTATCTGCCTCTCCTTGTGTTTGTGCCCCTGAGTTTCTCTGGGGCGTGGTCCTGGCCCGCCCACAGTATTCCCATGGGCACATTCAGTCCCCTCTGCGGCAGTCACCACCTCCAGTGACTACACAACAGGAAGTTTGCCGTGTGTGTCACCGAGTAACAGCCTTTCCCTGGGGAACAAAGCAGTTTCCCCAGTCAGGTGGTGCTCTTAGAGTGGGTGAGGCCATCCTGCTGGTTTTGTGGCACCTGCTTAGCTGGAAGGTGCTTCACTTGTCAGGAATGCCACCCCTCCTGTCCAGAGGTTGCTGGGTGTCTCCCTGAGGGCTCCCAGACAGCCTGGCAGGTTGGGAAGAAACAACAGGAGGAGCACATTGTTACCTCCCCTGTCCTTTCCTTTGAAATGACAGAAAGAGTTTCGTGTCCTGAATTCTGTTTCCAGAGCTGCCCTGGACCTGTGTCTCTGGGATCCGTGAGGCTGGGCCATTTGGGGTTTAAGTCAGACCCTTCCCATTTGAACTGGGCAGAAGATTAATAGAAAAGCTCCTCTCCAGGAGCTCCTTGTTTTGGGGCAGAATCCCAGGATGGACAAAGGAGTGATGTTAGTGAAAGGGCTGTGGAGGTCCTCAGGAGGTGGTGGTTTGTTTCTCCCCACAAAGCCCCTAGACCTTTTGGGGCTCCTGCCTAGCTGTTCTGGTCCGGAGGCCTCTCTGTTTGGGGCTTGTTTTGTTAGTTTTTTGGGGAAGGTAATGAGGACTGAACCCAGAGCCTCATATGTACTGGGCAGTTGTTGTGCAAGTGAGCTACACCCTCTCCTTTTTGAGACAGAGTCTTACTAAATTGCTAGGTTGGCTTTGAATTTGCAATTTTCCTACCTCCGTCCTCTTTGTAGCTGGGATTACAGGCATGCACCCCCGTGCCCAGCTTCATTACTCGTGAAGTTATCTTCATCTCTTTTTGTGTCCTAGTTAACTGAGATGAATGGGATTTTTTTTATGCTCACACACAAAACTTGCTGTAGTCATTCATGAGGAACTTTTGAAATTATTATTTTTTTTTCCTCTACCACCTTTTGCACTTGTGAAACCGTGTCTGTGGGTTTGGCTTGAACACTGGATTCCTTTCCTATCTGCTGTCCTCCCTGACCACTTCCTCACCGCCCCCCGCCCCCCCAGCGTGCTGCTGGCAGTCTGTCGTGTTTGGAGAGCGCTTTAACTTTTTACAGTGTTGGGCACCGAGCGACAGGGGAGAGGTGGCGGGGAGAACAGGAGCCACAAGGGAGCCGTGGAGGTGAATCAAGTTAGAGAGGGGAAGGGGAAAAATAGCATCAGCCATCAAGCGAGGACCTTAGAAGTGGCTTGGCCTTGGCCTGGGAGAGTTCCCCCTCCTCTAGTTGCCCAGCACCCCTCTCCATCTGTGTCCCTATCCCCTGCTCAGTGATGGGTAGATCAGACCCAGAAGCCAAGGGCCAAGATCGTCTTTACCAGTGGTTGTTAGGGGGCCACTGTGGAGACCTTCAGTACCCCAGGCCTGTCTCTGGGGAGCACGGGGAGCTGCAGGTCACACCTGGTGCAGACCCAGGGCTCCCCACCACTGTCCGTGGCCACCATCTCTCCCCTAGCTGAGTGTTTCCGGGGCCACAGCCTCCAGCTGCCAGGTCACTGTGTTGCAGGAGGGGTTGCAAGTGTGCTTCCGTGGGCCAGGCACTTCTGTGGTCAAGTGGATTTTCACATTGAGGTTCTCCGAGGCCCCTGGCCAGCCCCAAGTGGGGCTCACCTTTCCTGCACTCGTGACCACAGAACCTGCGCTGGTCCCAAGGGACATTTGGGGAAATCCTAGCTTGGGTTTGTCCACAACCTTGCTGGGAGTGTCCCTGTATTTTTTTGTTTTTCATGGTTCTGGGACTTGAGCTCACAGCCTTTTGTATGCTAGGGCAATGCTCTGTCACTGAGCTAAACTCCAGCCCCGGCCTGTAGCAGCGGTGCTTTTCCGTTTCATTGGCTTTTTCTGCCTCCACCTGTCCAGCCAGTTATACTCACAGGCACAGTGCTTTCAGCGTGGGATGAGAGCTGGTCCTCACGTCCTCCCCCAGCCTGCCCCGGAGGTCACAGCGCTTGCCTCTGCTCCTATGGGCTTCCCCAGCCCTGAGCCTCTTGGGTTCTCCTGTTGACTCCCCCGCTTCACGCTGACTCTGGGGTTGCTTTTAGGGAAGATGGTGAGTTGGAGGAAGGTGAACTGGAAGACGATGGGGCGGAGGAGACCCAAGACACCCCAGGAGGGCAAGAGAGAAGCCGGAAGGAAAAGGGGGAAAAACACCATAGTGACTCGGACGAGGAGAAGTCTCACAGGAGGCTGAAGCGGAAACGGAAGAAAGAGCGGGAAAAGGAGAAGAGGAGGTCGAAGAAGAGGAGGAAATCCAAGCACAAAGTAGGTCCAGGAAGGTTGGCGTTGCTGCACTGCTGGCATGGGGCCTGCTCTGTTCCCCCGGAGGGCACTCTTCTCGCTGGCCTACCTGCCCCTGTGTGGGTAAAGACTTTCTTAATGAGCTGGCAGCTTATGCTCCACTGCTACTGAGTGCCCCCAGGTGAGGCGATGCAGGTGGAGCACAGTGCCCTTGGGCATAGTCCAGCATTGCTCGTCCTGGGGCTGATTGCAGGGTAGCGGCCTGCAGCAGTCACTAACCCACCTCCCCTGTCCCTGCAGCGCCATGCTTCTTCCAGCGACGACTTCTCAGACTTCTCAGATGAGTCAGATTTCAGCCCCAACGAGAAGGGGCACCGCAAGTACCGGGAGTACAGCCCCCCGTACGCCCCGGTGAGTGACTGCCTGGGACCCTGGGGGCCAAGGGCTAGGGGCCAGGAGTGCTACAGGGCCTGTGTTTACTGAATTCTTTATACATTTGGGCTTTCTTGCATGAGCTTTACATGGATTTGAACCCTACAATATTAGGTGTTCTTTTCATCCGTTTCATAGGTGAGGAAACTGGGATTTAGAAAATCTCAAACAGGGTCACCAGCTCTGAAGTGGAGGAGCTAGGACTTGGACCCAGCGACAGATCTTGCTCTTGAGCCTTCTCAGGCCAGGCCTACCCTGAAGCCTTGGCAGGACTCAGTATGTCTCACTGGCCCGGGTCACAGCTGAATGTGTTCTGCTATCCAAAGGTGGCTTTTATGGCAAGAGAAGGAAGTAGTCAGGGGCATAAATTATCTTAAAGGTTTTATTTTCCTTAAAGGTTTTATAGTCAGAGGTCAAGTACTCCATTACATCTCCTACTTTTACATTATTTTTTGTTTGTGTACATTTTTTTACCCTAGAAAAACCCATAAAGAAGAAATCACTAGCCAGATACGGTGGTGGGCAGCTGTGTCCCAGCACTTGGGAGGCTGAGGCAAGAGGATCACCACAAGTTTGAGAGCAGTCTGGGTTACATAGGGAGTTGAAGGCCAGCTGGAACTACCTAGAGAGACCCTGTCTCAAAAAACAAAGCAAGAGCCGGGCATGGTGGCACACACTTGTAATCCCAGCATTTGAGAGGCTGAGGCAGGAGAATCGTTGCAAATTTGAGGCCAGGGTAGGCTACAAAGTGAGTTCAAGACCAGCCTGAACTGCATAGCGAGATCCTATCTCAAAAAGACAAAAAAACAGAAAACCCAAACAAACAAAAAACCCCAAAATAAAAATACACTTGGAATTTTAGATTGTGGTAAGAAAAGTTGATGGCTATTTTTCAAGCTGGAGGGACGGTATTGCCCTGTCATTCAGTGATATCTGTCATAAGGGATGATTTGTGTCAAATGTTCTTTTTTTTTGTCTTTTTGAGACAGGGTCTCTCTGTGCAGTTCAGGCTGGCTGTGAGCTCACTTTGTAGCCCAGGCTGGTCTCGAACTTGCAACGATCCTCCTGCCTCAGCCTCCCACGTGCTGGGATTACAGGCATGCACCACCGCGCCCGGCTTGTGTCAAATGTTGTAGTTGAGACTGATGTACTGTTAAGGCTCAGGCCTAGAACCTGAGGAAGCATGGGAGTGGAGGGTGTGGCTTGCTGTGATGGTGAATGAGAGCTTAAGGTGGTTTGCAGTCTGTGAAAGTACTGTGTGTGTGTGTGTGTGTGTATGTGTGTGTGTGTGTGTGTCTGGATGTCTGTATTTTGAATTTTTCTATAATTGGATATTTTAAAATTAATAGGGCTGGGGATATAGCTCAGGGGCACAGCACCTGCCTGGTAAGTGCAACATGCTGAGTTAAGTTCTGGTACCCAACCTCCGCAGCCCCCCCCCAAAAAAAAATCGAAACCAAAAAAAAATTAAATTAAATTAATATACTTTGAGCTGGGCCTGGTGGTGCACGCCTGCAGTCCCAGCACTCAGGAGGCTAAGTCAGGAGGATTGTTGCTAGTTTGAGACCAGCCTGGGGTACAAAGTGAGCTGGTGTGGCGAACAGCCTGAACTGCACAGTGAGACCCTGTCTCAAAAAGACAACAACAACAACAAAAAAGTTAATGAACTTCTTTTTTTTAGAGTAGTTTTAGGTACATAGGAAACTGGACAGATAGTACAGTCTCCTTATCCCATCTGACGCCACGGTTTCCCCTGTAATTAACACTTGTACTAGCATGATTCAGAGTTACAATGGGGAACTCCGTGCTGATACAGTAGTGTTCATTGGTGGCTGTCACTTAGGTTGCAGTTCTGGGTTTTGTTGCAGTATCACACAGTAGTTTCTGCCTGTGCTCTTCCTGTTCACCCTTACCTTCTTCCCGCTGTCAACTCCCAATCTTTTACTATCGCCATAATTTTGGCTTTTCTGGAATTTCTTAGTTGGAACCACACAGTCTGTAGTATTTTGGAACTGGCTTCTTTCCCTTGAACCCATAGGCTCAAGTGATTCTCCTGCCTCAGCCTTCCCAGTAGCTGGGACTGCAAGCATATACCATGGCACCCTGCCTTAGCAACATGCCCTTAGGGTTTGTCCATGTTTTTTCATTGCTGTGTTGTCTGAATGCATAACAGTTAGTCTTCCATTCACTTCGTGTGTGTCCGTGTCCGTGTGTGTCCGTGTCCGTGTGTGTGTGTGTGTGTGTGTGTGTGTGTCCATCCAAGAATTGAACCCAGGTCTTTGCACGTGCTAGGCAAATGCTGTACTCCTGAGCCACATCCCCAGACCTGTCTGTTTTCTCACTGAAGGATGTCTTGTTCCTTCTGTGTATGCGTGTTTTCCTCTTATCCAGCACCACTTGGCGCTGGCCCACCTTGGAAAGCATCATCCAAAACTGCTCCCAAGTGTGATTGCCAAGCAGGGCAGTAACTGAACTCTGGGGCTCTAGAGTGATTTTGGGTGCAGCGTGCTTCCTGCCGACGTCCCCCGCCCTCCATGTGGTTGCCCTGCATCCCTGGGGCGTGCCTCTTCTCTTGTCCTTGGCTTACCGGGGATTACAGGACCTGTGTTTCTGCTTTCTTTGCGCGGCTGCCCTTTCTGAACGGCCGACACCTTGCTACCCCAGCCTTACAGGGGAGCACCAGGCCCCAGAGTCTCTTGGGGGAACTGTGGGGACATGGGTGGCCCATGACCCCCAGCCATGAGGCCAACTCACGTCTCCCCTCTCTCTGGGACTCAGTCCCACCAGCAGTACCCGCCCTCACACACCACATCCCTACCCAAGAAGTCCTACTCCAAGATGGACAGCAAGGGCTACAGCATGTACGAAGACTACGAGAACGAACAGTACGGAGAGTACGAGGGGGACGAGGAAGAGGACATGGGCAAGGATGACTATGACGACTTCACCAAAGAGCTGAACCAGTACCGCCGCTCCAAGGAGGGCAGCAGCCGAGGCCGAGGTGAGCTGGCCCAGCAGCGTCTCCTCCAGGGCCGGAGCCGGGCAGACCCTGGAACCCAGCCCTCCATAGGCTCAGGTCTGGGAGGAGACAAGGCGGCCATTAGGAGGGGGAAGCGTGTGAAGGGCGGAGGGGAGCCGCCCGAGGGTGTTAGGAGGAAGATCCCTGGCCAGGCTGAGGTTGGGATGGCGCCAGGCTGGTAGGAGGCAGGGGAAAGGCCATGCTGGCTGAAGCGTGATTTTTAAAGTTCACTTCCTGGTGAGCTGTGCGGAGAGAGAAGGGACAGCTTCTCTCTCCTCTGTGCTAGGATACCAGCTGCCCACTCCCTTCCTCATCCCTGGCGCTCACCATCTGACCAGGTGTGGCTGCAGCCCAGGCCTCTGCCACACCTCTAAACCTTGAACCCCTGGCCTGCAGTCTTGGAAGGATGGGTGGTGGGGGCGGGTGAGCACCAGACAGCACCCCAGCCTGGAGCCTTGGAACTGTCTCCTTCCGGACAGCCTGGCCCAGGGGGCCTTTTGAAATCTTTTTTTCTTTTCCTTTTTTTGAGACAAGGCCTCACTGTGTACTTTAGGCTGGCCTTGGACTCACTGTAGAGCCCAGGCTGGCCTAGAACTCGCAGCCATCCTCCTTCCTCAGCCTCTTGGGTGCTGGGATTATAGGCATGCACCACCACACCTGGCATACTTTTTTGTTTGTTTTTTTCATACAGGGTCGCCCAGTATAGTTTAGATTGTCCTCAAACTCTGTGATACTCCTACCTCAGCCTCCAGAGGCACATGGGTCACAAGGCCCAGCAAGAATTTTCTCTTTTATTTCATTTTATTTTATTTTATTTTATTTTATTTTACTATTTTATTTTATTTTATTTTATTTTATTTTTTTTAGTAATGGGAATTGAACTCACAACCTCATGCTTGCCAGGCAGGCGCTGTGCCACTGAGCTATATCCCTGGCCGCAGGTTTTCTAATTGATAGTGTTTTTCAGACTTGTGACCCTTGCCTGTTGCTAGTGGCCATGCGTTTGTCTTTCTTTGGACGTGTCCTTTGACAGGCCCTGTGTTTGGGGGAGACCCTAGAGCAGTGCTGTCAGGTGGTGCCACCGCCGTGTCATGTTACGTGTTGCAGAACCACGCTGACAAAGTGAGAGGAAACAGATTAAACAAACTTTAATACCCGATTTCAGTAACTGATCTATTCCAAATCTTATTTCAACGTGAAATCAAAATAGACAAGTGCAATGATTTCTATTCTCTTTTTGGATAAGTCTTTGAAATCGGTGTGTGTCTCGTACTCACATCTCTCAGGGTGGAGCAGCCATGTGCCAAGTGCTGATGAGGTGTGTGGCTGGTGGCTGCTGTTGGGCCCTGCAGCTCTAAAGGGACAGGCACCTTCAAGCAGGCACAAGGGCTGTAGTATTCTTCTGTCCAGAACGCTGAGGTGCAGGGTCAGGCTTCAGGAGGGCAGGGGTGGGGGTGGCCCCTCCAGCAAGAAAGAGACCACCCCCCCAAGGCTCGCTGTAAATCCCCACGCAGGCAGCCGAGGCCGGGGCAGAGGATACAGAGGCCGAGGAAGTCGTGGAGGATCTCGAGGCCGAGGCATGGGCCGGGGCGGCCGGGGCCGGGGCCGAGGCTCCTTGGGAGGAGAGCACCCGGAGGACGAGGAGGACTTCTATGAGGAGGAGATGGAGGTGAGCTTCCTGCAGCCCCGGGGAGAGGGGAGTGCAGCAGGGGTGCAGTCTGGGCTGCAGGCACTGTGGGAGGAGGCTGTAAGGGGACACGGGCCGCGCTGAGGGAAAGGAGGCCTCGGACGGCAGGTCCCTGTGCCTAGCGTGTTTACTCCGGGATAGCGGAACTCTTCCCATGGAGTGAGATAGAAAAGGCATCTAATGGTGGGCTGCGAAAAAATCCTGTCCTTAGAGACAGGTTCCTGAATATCTTTTGGAATTGTTTTATGCATTTCTAGTTGCACCTGTGTACCTCCTCCCCCGAGGAGGACGCGTACAGGTGCTCATCTCCCCTCCCTTCCGTGCCAGCGCCCGACAAGGTGGCCGCTGTGTGCAGCACTGCTGGGCTGGCTCTGCCAGGGCCCGTCATTCAGGCGGCACGTCCAGTCCCTAGGGTTGGTGCGCTGCCTCCTGGAGGGCAGAGCGCGGTTGTGGGCAGTGTCCCTTGTGTCCTTCCTCACGCTTCCTGTCCTGCACTTCTCTCTGGAATTCCAGTATGGAGAAAGCGAGGAGCCAATGGGGGATGACGACTACGATGAGTACTCCAAGGAGCTGAACCAGTACCGCCGGTCCAAGGACGGCCGAGGCCGAGGTGGGCAGGGGCCCTGGAGGTGGCCTGGGGGGTGCAGGACCCAGGAAGGGCCTGCAGGCTAACAGCGGCGCCCTCTCTGTCCTCTGCAGGGTTAAGTCGAGGCCGGGGCCGGGGTTCCCGGGGCCGAGGGAAAGGGATGGGCCGGGGCCGCGGCCGAGGTGGCAGCCGAGGCGGGATGAACAAGGGCGGAATGAACGATGACGAAGACTTCTACGATGATGACATGGGCGTGAGTGCCTCCTCATTCTGATCTGATGGTTCTGGCCAGGGCACCCTCTGGGAATTACTGGAGTTTTTTTTCTTTAATGAGTCATTCTGTGAGGTTTGTCCTGTCACCCTGCTCCCATGAGCCCTTCCCCGGGGGCTGCCGGGTGTGGATCATCTCTCGAGGTCGCTCTGCTAGCGGAGCCCTCTGTGTTTACGGGCCCACTGGTTAGCAGCTTGCAGCCTTCTCAGTGAGTCTGTGCTTTGGAAGCTTCTAGCAACTCAGTCGATTAGCCTGGGAGGGCCTCACAACAAGGCTGTGGCCCGTCCTCCAGGGGTGGGTGTTCCTGTCAGGTGTGTGGAATCAGGATCTCCATCCCCCACAGCTCCGGGTGCCAGCGCCTTTCCTGTGCCCCATACTCAGCGCTCAGGCCCAGCCCGCCCACAGCCCTGGAGTGTCCGTGCCCTTGCACATGCTCATTCCCTTTTGCCGTCGGTTACTCACCCAGCCAGAACCTATCTCCCCCCCTTTCTCTGTGTCCCCTGACACCACGCTGTGTTCCGTACAGGACGGTGGCGGGGGCAGCTACCGGAGAGGTGACCACGACAAGCCCCACCAGCAATCTGACAAGAAGGGCAAAGTCATCTGCAAGTACTTCGTGGAAGGGCGGTGCACGTGGGTAAGGAGCTGTGCAGCCACCCTCAGAGCACGCGTGGCCTCCGGGAAGTGAATGCACGGGGCGAGCCCGACTGGGGGCAGGTGGGCGCGATGGTGCGGTGGTCTGAGGTCCCAGGGCATGCGTTGGTATTGAGGTGCCCGGACGGGCCTGGAACAGACTCAGTTCACTTCTCAGAGTAAGGACGACCAAGAGCAAGACAACATGCAGATTATCTTGGTTTTAGGGGGTTTTTTGGCCAAATTTCTCGTCTCATCCGTACGGCCTCCAGTACATTTATGAGTTGATGCTTATGCAAAGATGTTATGTATCCTGCTTAAGTTACTGAACTTGAGCGGTAGGGAGGGAATTATTAACCTTTCCAGTAGGAGTCAGGTTGGGCCATAGATGTAAGACCAGGTCAGTGCCAGGAGATGGACCGGTGACCACAGAGTTCTGTGGGAACCAAGTGTAGCTGAGCCAGTTTGTCCCACCCGTGTTTGTCCAGCAAACACAAGTGGCTCAGGCACTGCTGCTCCCATGCATCTGTCTAGGGAAGAAGTTACACAATATTTCAGACGAATACGTTGTACTTGGCATATTCCCTATTGTAGTCACAAGTTCTTTTTCTTTAGAAGTTTGTATGTGTAAGCAGAGAAAAGCCAGAGGCCGTTCTGAAGGATAGGGGGAAGCGGGTAGAGAGCAGCTTCCGTCTTTAGGGATGGAAGTGATTCCTATGAGAGATGGAGAACACAGCCGTGATCCCACCAAGGTGTGGGGGTGTGGTGCTTGGATTGTTCGGCTGCGCTTGCTGAAAATGGGGGGCCCTGGCTTTAGCACGTAGGCCGTGATCTCAGAGCCAGGAATCTGAGGGTGGGCGGGCAGCACAGGGCGGTACAGTGCTTAGTGGCACTTGGGTACCTGGGCTCCTTCTACCCCCCCGCTGTCTTTAAGTACGTGGCTTTCTTCGGTCCTTGTGTTTGCACAGTGGCTGCTGTGCCTCTAGACATCACATCCAAGTGCTAGGAGGAAGAAAAATGGGTGAAGGAATGCTCTTTATTCAGGAATTTCTCCCTTCAGGAGCTTTCGCCTGTGTCTCATTGGCAGGGTCTGCAGAGGAGGCTGGGAAATGGGGTATTTTGAGCTGCGCACATTCTTGCCCAGACCAAGTGAGGAGGGTGCTGTTAGGCAGGAGGGCGTGGGGCTGAGGTGCACGGGGGGTGATGAGCCCTGGCTGCCGCTCAGCAAACGGTAAAGAAGCAGTAGTGAGAAGGCGGGTGGGAAAGGAGAGGGAGCTGGAGGAGAGCTGGAAAGCAGCCACGGAGGCCATGGCCCGGAGGAGGGGGCGGTGGGGGGAGAGGGGGCCCAAGGGGAAGACACGGGCAGGTGCTGGGGCTGGGGCGGCCCTACTGGGCAGAGGCGTCAGGGGTGGGAAACCTGCCTTTCCTGAGCTGCCCTTCTGGGGGCCTCGGTTCTGTCCGGAGCCCCTCAGCGCCAGCAGGGCAACAGTGCTTTCCTCCGTAGATGGTGCCCTGGCACCGCCACCTGACCGTTTTTGTGCTTCTCTTCCAGGGAGACCACTGTAATTTTAGCCATGACATTGAACTGCCAAAGAAGCGAGAGCTGTGCAAGTTCTACATCACGGGGTTCTGCGCCCGCGCCGAGAACTGCCCCTACATGCATGATATCCTTTGCTACTGCCAGCAGCTGCGGCCGCTCCTGCAGGCAAAGCAGGGGTCTCCGTTCGCCCTCACTCTGCCCCGGGGTGGGCCTGCCCTTCCGCTCTGCAGATGAATGAGCAGGGACCTGTCTGCCATGTGTCCTCTCAGCGCATGTGCTCTGCGCTGGCCTCCGCGCGGCCTTAGTTTTTTCCAACTGGCTCTGTGACCTTGGGCAAATCTCTTAACATCCCCCTCCACCGAGAGTTTGAGGACACAGCCCCAGGGCCAGCTCAGTGGGGCAGAATTGTTCTGGAATAGGAGTCTTTGGGGCCGTTCCTCTTCTGGGGTCTGCTGCCAACCGAGTGGGCAACCTGAGCATGTCACTTCGCGTCTGGCCTTCACTCTCAGTTCCAGAACAGAAGAGGTTGGGTTCTGTACGGGTAGCACCCACGAGGGTGAAGCTTTTGCCTTAACGCTCTGTGCACGCGACTTTCCCTGTAAGTTGTACCACACGACTGGGAACTGCATCAATGGGGATGACTGCATGTTCTCCCACGACCCTCTGACCGAGGAGACGCGCGAGCTCCTGGACAAGGTAGGGGCGCAGGGTCACGCTCACAAGAACCAGGACGTCCGCCTGCCACGGCCTTGGTGCTGCTGCGGCCCCTCCATCCTCTGCAGGAGCAGAGCTCCCAGTCTGTGATCTGGGGCTGGGCCCTCTCACAGGAAAGGCGACTGTCATTCCTGTAGGGCCTGGGCGGGGGTGGGGGTGCAGAGGGTCACAAGTGTATCTTATCTCCAGCAGCTGGGGCAGGCGGCTGTGAGGCTGTGAGTGAGTGCACTGGGGGCATGAGGTGAGGAATGCTGCTTGGTGGGTCTCCACACGCACCTTGTGATGTCTAGAGACAAGGCGCTGCACGAGTGAGGCGTGTGTTGACTCCTCAGGTCTCAGAGAGGGAGACTTCCTCAGGGAGCTGTTGGGGCAATTAGGGCTTCTTGTTGCTTTTTTGACACAGGGATCCGTGTAGGGAATAAAGGGGGAGGAACAGACACCCGCGTGATGCTTGCCCTCCTAGTGCACAGAGATTGAAGGGGATTGGCTAGTTTTTGAGACAGGAAGGACTGAGACCATCAGTACATCAGCTAGCTTCGAGAATCTGTCCGTCAGGACCTCGGGCCACAGGGAGAAGCCTGGAGAAGCAAAAGTTAGAGAACCTCCATACCTCCCAAGGTGTCTGTGGGAACAGCGCTTGCTCTTGCCATTTCCTTTGTGGAATCTGTCACCCCAGAGTTGTGTAATCAGTATATACCCAGAGTTCAGTTATTCTCATGTAGGATGCCGTGGAACAAGTAATGGTGGCCCCTTTTCTCATTTGGAGAACTAGGTGATCGCTAACTGGCTGCTGCCCCCTGCTGGAAGTTTAGAGTTTTGCTTCAATAGGAACAAATAAGCCTTGTGATTCAGTTCGTTTTAGTATTTTTAGTCCACATTTTTATTTTTAATTTTTTTACCTTCTCCCCCTTTTTTTGTTCTTGTTTTGGGGCAGGGTCTACTTTTGGTTTTTTGAGAAGAGATCTTGCCATGTAGTTCAGGCAGGCCTTGAACTCATTATGTTGCCCAGGCTGGCCTCAAACTCAGCGATCTTCCTATCTCAGCCTCCCGAGTGCCGGGATGACAGGTGTGCACCACCACACCTGGCCTTTCCAAGCTGACCTTGAACTCAGAGCAGTCTTCCTGCCTCAGCCTCCCAAAAGTTGGAATTACAGGCATGCAACACCAGAGCCAGCGCTTGTATCAATTTTTTTATTTAATCCAGAATACTATTTCATTTTTTTTCCAAGAAAACTTTATTTTCAAGAAACAGGTAGGGGTTTGACTTGGCCCATAGTCACTAGCTGGCCAACCCCTGCTCCGCTGTATTTTTTTTATTAGTACATTTTAGATAAACATAATGGTAACATTCATCGTAGGGAGTGAGTACTTGCATATAATACAGCTTAACTTTTTCCTCATTCCAACCCCTCTTCTCCTTATTTACAAAAGCTTTATTTTCATTTTTTTCTTGTCCCTTCCTTTCCCCTCCGCTCCCTTGTACCTCTTCTCATTTGAACATTTTCTTCCCATTTTCCAATATCTCTTTCATACTCTGATTCTAATTTACACTTCCGGTTTCTCACACCAGAGAAACAATGCCGTATTTAAACATATGTCAAGTTTATTTCACTTAAGAGTATGGTCTCAAGGTATAGGCGTTTAGCTAGAATTGTCTCAAGCTTATCTTTCTTTCTTTCTTTTTTTTTTTGTCTTTTTCAGACAGGGTCTCTCTATGCAGTTCAGGCTGGCCTTAAGCTCACTTTGTAGCCCAGGCTGGCCTTGAACTCGCAGCAATCCTCCTGCCTCAGCCTCCCAAGTGCTGGGATTACAGGCATGCGCCACCATGCCCAGCAAGTTTATCTTTCTTTATGGCAGTGTAGTACTCCATTTCAGAATACTATTTTAGCAATCAATGAATAATTAAGAAAATTGAGTTTTTTTAATTTTCTTTTTCTTGGCACTGGAAATTGAACCTGGGGACTCAAGCATGCTAGGCAAGCTGCGTCCCCAGCCATGGAGAGTTGTATTTTCTAGGGGCCGGGGATTTAGCTCAGCGGCACAGCGCTTGCCTGGCAAGTGCGAAGTGATTTTGATTCCTGGTACCAAAAAAAAAAAAGAGAGAGTTGTGTTTTCTGCTTACCAGCCTCCACTTGGATCAGCCTGTCTGCAGCACTTGCTGGCTGCAGGTGGCCTCCGCCTCCACCGTGGACAGCGTTACCCCAGAGGCCCTCCTGTAAACAAAGCGGCATATTTCAGCTCCTGGCCACATACCTGTTAAGGTGTCACCATTGTCCCCTGTCTAAAGTCTGTGGGTTTAAAGACTGGCAAACCAGGAAAAAGCATGCTAGGACTGGGATGATCAGAGAATAAAACCCGCACTACCCCTCTTAGGAGGCCTCGCTGAACCCGAGGAAAGCCTGGGCTCTCCTGGCAGCCTGTTGGTAGTCAGAGCTGTGGTGCCACTCAGGACGAGGCCCAGCCACCCTCTCCCAAAATGTCTGCCTTATTTCTTTTTTGGCGGTGTTGATTGAACCGAAAGCCTTCACACTGAGCATCCTCAGGCTTTGTTTTTGTATTTTGAGACAGTTTGCACTAAGTTTTCCAGGCTGGTGTCAAACTTGCAATCCTCCTACCCCGGGGTCCCTAAGTGCTGGGATTACAGGGGTCTGCTTTTCTGCCCTCTCCACCTGTCCCTTTCAGTTTTATCTTCCCACTTGGTGCCGTTTCTGTCCATTGAGAAATGCGAGTTTCCTGCCTTTTGTTTTTGTTTGGGGTTTTTTTGTTTTTGTTTTTTTGTATTTTTTTCTTTCCGGTACCGGGAATTGAACTCACGACCTTGCGCTTGCCAGGCGCCACTGAGCTAAATCCCCAGCCCCAGTTTTTTTGTCTTTCTGAGACAGAGTCTCGCTATGCGGTTCAGGCTGACCTTGAGCTCACTTTGTAGTCCAGGCTGGTCTCGAACTCACAGTGATCCTCCTGCCTCAGCCTCCTGAGTGCTGGGATTACAGGCGTGTACCACCATGCCAGGCTCTGCCTTCTGGTCTGTGTTTGGAAACTGGCCTCCATTGGGGCTTAGTGATGAGGCTTATTTGGAAGTAAGCAGCAAGAATAACAAGAAGTCCTCCACCCAGGTTCATCTGCAAGGGGTCCTCTGTCCCATTTCCTTTATTCGGCGCTCTGGCTTTGCTGTAGATGTGTATGTGTGCACTGCCTTTTTCCTGAGTGTTTGAGAATAAGGTGTGTATGCCTTGGTCCTTCACTGCTCATACTTCAGTAACAGATAGGTTTGCTTTTTCCATTTGTGTTTTTGAGACAGAGCGCTCACTGTATAGTTCAGGCTGACGACGAACTCACTGTGCAGCTGAGGCTGGCTTCAACTATCGGCAGTTACCCTGCCTTGGCCTCCTGAATGCTGGCATTTCCAGTGTGTGCCGTCATGCCTGGTGGTAGTTGTTTTACAGTCAGGTTTCAAAGTATAGTTGGGATCCAGAAAATTCCCCTGTGTAGTCTACAGTTCTGTGACTTGACCAACATGTAGAGTCATTGTCAGCATCACACAGTGCAGATAGAGGAAAAGAGCAGCATAAATGGTGTGCTGTAAGTTGCCCTTGTGTGTCTGGGGGGTGGGACTGTGGCCTCTCACCCTGGGGATACTGCATTTGAGATTCACCCAGTTGTTCAGGTTCTTTGCTGTTGGTTGCTAGGCTGTTCGCCACTGTGTGGACGGCTGAGTTTGTTTAGCCAAGCATTGGTTGAAGAACATTTGTGTTGTTCCCACTTGGGGACAACAGTTCCAGAGTTTGTGACCAGCTAACTGCCTTCAGCGCATTCACATGGCAAAACCGGGTCCCCGGCTTTCCGTCTGTGCAAATGTGGCCTTTGTTAGGGTTGAGGCGGTACCTTTGACTTGAAACGGATAGGTCACTGAGCATCAGTCCTAGCGGGGAGTTTCAGGACTCAGCGGGGTGCTGATGGCCCTGTCCAATGAGATGTACCAGGGACAGTGGCCCTGCAGAGGAGAGGCCGGGGAGTGCTTGGAGTGCAGTGTCTCCTGCCACATGTCTGTGCTGAAGGACCAGTCAGTAGTTTGGGCGAGGTCCTTCTGCCTGTTTTCTCTTAGGTAATCGACGTGTCTGTGTCCTGGGCTCAGATGCGCTCAGCGCTGGGTGCGGGGCGCAGGGGGCCCATCAGTGTCTTGAGCAGCGTCCCTCCTGCATGTCCCACGGGCCGCGTGGTCAGGGAGGCTTGTGTGCGGCTCAGATCCGGGTGAGGAGCTCTTGTTCTCGGCAGACAGGCAGCGGAAGCACAGCTGAGACGCTTCTGTGCGGGGTGCAGGCAGGCCCCGGGGAGGCGGAGCAGGAGCCCGACTCCCCAGCTTTGGGGTGCCTTTGTGGAGCACCTCACTCCAGTCATTTGACCAGGGGTGCCTCAGGCACTCCTGGGTGTGGCCGCTGTGTTTGAGCTGCCGAGTGGCAGTCAGTCCCTGGAGCCAGCAGTCTGATGAAGAAAGGTGGCGGCCAGCTTTTCACATCTGATGAGCGGGAGAGGGAGGTGCAGCGTGCGTTCTGTGGCCTCAAAGGAACAACCTCGTCTGGGGCGTGAGGAGGCCTCTGTGAGGGCTCGGGGTAGGGCAACTCCGGAAGTGAGAGCAGTGCCAGGTGTCACAGTGGGGGAACAGGTGAGCGGGCGGAGGCCAGGGAGGTGAGGGGTGCATGTCCGGCCAGGGCCAGGCTCTGCAGGGGCCTGTGAGGAGAGGGCAGGAAGGAAGCCGGGGTGAAGTGTGTTCCTGTTTAATAGGGTATAACTTTATTAATTCTGGCCTTTGACTTGAAAGCATTGAGGCTGTGTTGAAAAGATTGAGAGGGCAGTGGCGTGGCCGTGTTTGTGACCTTGAATTTTGCTGTGTGGTGTGCAGAGGACGCTGGGAGAGTCGAGGGAGGCCAGGACCAGGACCAGGACCAAGACAGTGGGCATCGTATGGAGGGTGCTCAGGCCTGCAGTGTTCCCTTCTACATAGGGTCCCTGTTGCTGAGACGTGTCCCAGTGGATATGGGTGTTTCTCGGTATCTCGCTGGGGATCCCCTTCCCCTGTGTCAGGTCTGTGCTGGCAGCTGGGAAAGCAGCAGGAGAGGCAGTAGTCCCCACCCTCCTGGGATGGACAGGACGTGCAAGCCAGGGGTCAGTAGGGGAACGGCCGAGTACCTGGTCTTGTCAGGTGTGGGCAGTGCTTTGAGGAGCGCGCAGTGCCTGGCCAGCCTTAACTATATAGAGAGACCCTGTCTCAAAACTCAAAAAAACAGAAACAAAACCCCACACAAACCACCACCACACACAAACAAAAGAAAAATCCTCATTAGATGCTACTCTGCAGCTGACCTCTGGGATCAGCAAGCAGAGGGAGCCATTCCTGTCCTGTGGCAAAATCCAAATCACATGTAGCATTTTAACTGCTTTTCAGTGTTTTTTTGTTTGTTTGTTTTTTGTGTTTTTGAGACAGGGTCTCACTGTGCAGTTCAGGCTGGCTGTGAGCTCACTTTGTAGCCCATAGCCCAGGCTGGTCTCGAACTCACAGTGATCCTCCTGCCTCAGCCTCCCACGTGCTAGGATTACAGGTGTGTGCCACCATGCCCGGCTATGTAGCTTAGACTGGCCTCAAACTTGGGGTGATCCTCCTGCTTCAGCCTCCCAAAATGC